AACAGTGTCTCACAGAGCACCCCAGCCCCCCCCCCCCCCCCAGTGCCCCTGAAAAGACCAGCATCCACAGTTTCCCCTAGGGCCACCAAGTCTGCTGCAGAGTCACCTAATCCCCTTCCCTGCACTGCACTCCAAACCCATTCATACACTTTTTGTTTTCCCATACTTTTATTGAAGTGGAAACTTCTTTTTTTTTTTTTTTAATGCTGGGACATAGAAGGTTTTGAAAGAATTTACAGGCCTTGGTCTCAACCACTGTCTGTTAGGCAGACAATTTGGGGTGCATCCAAAACTATATGACTGCAAAAAAGTGCATTGATTCTTCAATTTAATGTATGCATTTCCACTGTGTGCATGTATTCTATCGTACATCTCTTAGATTGTAAGCTCCAAGGAGCAGGGCCCTCCTAACCCTCTTGTATTGAACTGTATTGTCTCCCTTTATATTGTAAAGCGCTGAGCAAACTGTTGGCGCTATATAAATCCTGTATAATAATAATAATAATAATAATCACAATAAAGCCATTCTATCTTCACACAGGTGCACAGCTCCTATTGAATGCATCTACGTATGTGTTCTACAGGAAAGCATTTTACAAGACAAACATGAACAGCACTGACCTAGTACCTTAATCCTGCCCAGGATCCTCTAGTAAATGTCAGGGAGTCTACTGAACAGTTTGGTGCTGTGTAATGCTGTGTGGTTGTCTCCCTTACTATTGCCTAGCTGTGAATGGATTGCATTCTTGATGGGTGACATCACTCCCTCCGGGGCACACAGAGTGTGTGCGTGTATGCAGGCAGATCTATACAAACACTGACTCAGTCTACACCCTGCCCATGATATACAGTCACACCCTTTACTTCTGTGGCCATTGCACACCACAGGCTGAAAACCTGACTGCTTACAAGACTAGTTCCTGGGACAGACCGGGATGAGAATTTGATACAATACTTTGAACAGATTGCTGGTGCAGAATACAGTCATATGCTAAGAAACAAATATACTATTAAACACTGCCACACAAAAAACACACAAAAACAGTGAATGTATTTCATTGTTGTATTGTAAAATGTTTTCTTGTTCAAAATGAAATTTAGATTGCATTGAAATTTGAAGTGATACCATCACATTACAATCAGCCATTCTGTAAGTATCATTTGACTTCAGCTAAATAATGGACAACAGACCTCACTAAGTACCAAACCAATATCTACAAGTGAGCAGCATGCCAATATCCAGTTACATGATCGAGGCTTTCTGAATTGTAGAATAACCACTGCAGGGGGTATGTTCATAGGTACAGGACGGGAATGGGAAGTCATCTACCACAATGGCAGAAAGAAATGGAAGACCTGCAAAGAGGCACCGGATATAAGCAGGCAAGGAGGTCATCTCACTGGGGGACTGAATTGGAAGACTAAAGCTCTGAGTTCTGATCAGTGAACAGAACAACATAGAGAAGATGACCACAACAAGCAGCCATATACTTAAGCTGGCCATACACTATTCAAATTATTTCTAAACCTGGCCATACATTAATAGATTTCTTTTGCTCAGCCTGTGGCCAGATTCCAGCCAGATAAATCCATCCAAACAAATGGCGTTAATGAACGAATTCCCCCCCCCAGGCTATTGTATTCTGACAACCGCTCATTGTCAATTGTCAGAATACCTAAACAGTGTCTGCAGTTGTTTGACTGCAAGCATCGTTCGATCAAAGATTTTCCAACCTAGCTCTTTTGACTAAAGTCAATTTTAGTTGAGCTGGCAGGGCCAGCCACTGTTAGAATTTTGGCCCATTCCTCTGTATGGCTCGCAATTCTAAAGCTGGCCATACAGGATACATTTTTTTGGTTCAACCAGCAATTGAATGAACAAAAAAAGTTAGCTGATATCCCTGTTCATATTCAACGGGGGAATCGTCCTGCTGGGCTATTGTATTCTGTCGGCAGGGAGCCTTCCCCGCTGCCAGAAAAACAGTGATCAGTATTCCCCCATTATAGCCAGTGGCACTGTCAGGGCTCATGCACATTTGACTTTCTTTCTAACTCTTGCCAAACACCCCTATAGCGCTTTAACGCTCCTAAAAACGCTCCCCAAATGCCCCATGCACAATTTTGTGGCAGTTGATAGGCGTTTGCCAAGTGTTAAAACCACACCACAAAAAACGCCTATAATGAAGTTACATGGTATTAACGCTCAGCAACCACCTCACAACTGCAGCACCATAGACTTGAATGGGAGGCTTCAACTCCTCTTAACTCGACACGAGGCGTCAGTTTTGACACGACGTAATGCTAACGCTTCAGTGTGAACAGCACTGTGTGCTGCCATGTGCAGAATTTTCATTAGTGCTTGAGAAGCATTAAAAACGCTTCCCAAACACCTGTCTGACGCCTGCTGACAAAGCTAGTGTGAATTGAGCCTTAATTCAGCAAAAACCTAACAGGCCGATTATACATAAATTAATAAATAGATCGACCTGTGTGTACCACCAGCTAGCCTATACATGGATCAAAATTCAGCTGGTTCAGCAGGGACCGGATGATTTTTGATCCATGTATGGCCGGCTTAACAGTGTAAGGCCAGTTTAACAGATTTGTTTATCCACACTACATGCAACAGATGGATGAATCCCCCTGCTGGGCTATTGTACTCTGACAGCCAGCAGCAGTCCGAATGCCCAAACAGCAGCTGCATCAGATTGGATGCAGCTGCCGTGCAGCTAACAATTTTCCACCAAGCTACTAAATTTCTCAGTTGAAGAATGTCGGGCTGGAGGGGGCCACTCACTTAACAAATTGGGCTAGTTCATTAGGTGTATGGCCAGCTTTACATTCATTATCTAACCTGCATTGGCAACACCCTAAGTCCAGTTTTTATACATGAGGCCCTCTACAGTTGTGGCCAAAATTATTCAACCCCCACTGAAATTGAGTGTTTTGGCCAGTTTGACATTGCTTTTGATCATTCAGTCATCTTGCTTACATTTACATTAAAGAGGCACTTGTAGGTCAGACAAATATAACATAACAGTTATAATGAAATAACCACAAATGTCTTTTCTGTGCTCACAGCATTATCAGTTTTATTCAACCCCCAAGTGACATTCAATCTTAGTACTTAGTACAGCATCCTTTTACAGTTATAACAGCTTTTAAACGTGAAGCATAGCTTGACACAAGTGTCTTGCAGCGATCTACGGGTATCTTCGCCCATTCTTCATGGGCAAAGGCCTCCAGTTCAGTCACATTCTTAGGCTTGCGCACTGCAACTGCTTTCTTTAAGTCCCACCAGAGGTTCTCAATCGGATTTAAGTCTGGTGACTGCGATGGCCACTCCAAAATGTTCCAGCCTTTCCTCTGCAACCATGCTCTAGTGGACTTGGAGGTATGCTTGGGATCATTGTCCTGTTGAAAGGTCCAACGTCTCCCAAGCCTCAGGTGTGTGACGGACTGCATCACGTTTCCATCCAATATCTCCTGGTACTGAAGAGAATTCATGGTACCTTGCACACGCTGAAGCTTCCCTGTACCTGCAGAAGCAAAACAGCCCCAAAGCATGATTGACCCTCCACCATGCTTCACAGTAGGCAAGGTGTTCTTTTCATCATAGGCCTTGTTCTTCCTCCTCCAAACATAGCGTTGATCCATGGGCCCAAACAGTTCTAATTTTGTTTCATCAGTCCACAGAACACTATCCCACAACTTTTGTGGTTTGTCCACATGGCTTTTGGCATACTGCAGTCGACTCTTCTTATTCTTTGGAGACAGCAAGGGGGTACGCCTGGGAGTTCTGGCACGGAGGCCTTCATTACGCAGTGTGCGTCTTATTGTCTGGGCTGAAACTTCTGTACCCACATCTGACAAATCTTTTCTCAGTTCCTCAGCAGTCACACGGGGACTTCTCTCCACTCTACGCTTCAGGTAGCGCACAGCAGTCGAAGTCAGCATCTTCTTTCTGCCACGACCAGGTAGCGTTTCAACAGTGCCCTTTGCCTTGAATTTGCGAATGATGCTTCCTAAGGTGTCTCTTGGTATGTTTAACATCTTTGCAATCTTCTTATAGCCATTGCCCTTCCTGTGAAGAGAAATCACCTCTTCTCTTGTCTTCCTGGACCATTCTCTTGCCTTCACCATGTTTGTAACCACACCAGTAAATGTCTAGAAGGAGCTGAGTATCACAGTCATTTTAAAGCTGCCTAATTGGTGCTTATTATGCTTGATTGCTGCTCGGTGACATCCACAGGTGTTTTCAATACCTGATGGAAAGCACCTGTATGAACCTCTGTTCTTCAGAGTGGTAGTCTTTAAGGGGTTGAATAATTGTGGCAATGAAGAAACCACATAAGAACCATTTACTACTGTATTACATAAACAATTGATGTCATTTTAGTTGCATTTGGGTAGTTACAACGTCCTTGTAGGATTTGATTCTGAATACAATTCCAAATGTACACTATAGTCCCTAAACCCCTTTACAGCATTGGGGGTTGAATAATTTTGGACACAACTGTAGTTCTAGTCATGTGAAATGATTGAAGCTGAATGTTATTTTAGCTCACAAAATGTCTGTCAGTGATGATTACACTTGGTTTCCAATGGCACTGTAACCACAAGTAAGATCCTAGCAGTTTGTCTGTGATCCCTTATCCTCCATAGTAAATAGTTGACCTCTAGAAATATACGATAAAGCTTTGATTTATTTTTGCTCTTTTACATAAACAGCAGCACATTGTCAAACATTTATTTTTACCAATATTAACACCTGCTAATAATCACATTATTTTAAAACGTTTTTCTCAGTCTTTCAAAACTTAAAAATATCCACTAAATTCCATCAATCTTAGTCCCATTCATTGTAAAAGGCACCCAGGTATGTACATGGTAATAAAAAAAGATGGCGTTTGTTATCAGGAATGTATCCACTGGACAATGCCAAATCAGTTGTTGGCTAAACAAAAGCCAAGGCAAATTCCCACAAATAAGAGACGTTGTCACATGTTTTCATACAACTGTAAAGTCTTCTCTAGCTCCTGGCTGACCCTCTGATAGAAGACAATCTGTTCCTTTATATAATGTTGGATCGTCTGCTTGAAGTCTAGCAACCTCCTCTGGTGAAAATGGTTAATCTCTGCTTGCAAAGCAAATCCCACTACGCGGCACCTCTTCCGGATTCCGTCAGCTTCTTCCTGCTCCATTTTCCCTTCATCACTCATTCGCTGGCTGTCCTTCACCTTAGTAAATGCTCCTGAGAGAGACAGCCAGAAAAAAAAAAAAAGGGTAAGAGGTAGAATGTAGCTAGTCTCCTCCCCCCCCTCCCAAAAACAAACAAAAGGGTAAGAGGTAGAATGTAACTAGTCTCCCCACAGTCACTCCCTTTATAATCTTTTCATACAATGACAGGTTTGCTTAATCTGCTTACTTTACTTAAAGGATACAAGTGATGGGGGGCCTGGAGTCTGCCATTGTTGACATGTCCTTCTGAAAATGCTAGTTGACTGGCCTGTAGGTTGAACCTCTATTATTAATATTATGGGGCCCAGGCACAAAGCAGCAGTATGTCCTTATCAGGTCCATACTGCTGCTTAAAAACATAATTGTTATTTTCAGAAATTGTAAACAAGCAAAGCTTCATTTGTTGAATAGGGGAAAATGTCATGTGACCAAGCTCTCCTCCTATCAAGAGGTGTTCTCTGCAGCAACATGTAAAGAACACTCCCACACAGACCACCGGGATACACACCGCAGCCTACAATGTATGAATAAGGCTAGGTTTAGACTTGCGCCTAAACCACCTCTCTTCTGAAAAGTGATCTGTTTTGGATCACTTTTTAGAGGTCATTGACAGACAGTGAGGAGACAGTGTGATGCCTCCTCACTGCCTGTTTTAACCCCATTATTGCTGAACAAACGATTGCAGCTTTTGTGGCGCTTTCAAATTTGCGTGAATGGACTGCATTCAGCGGGCATTCCTCCCACGTATTGCGACATGTCAGCTCAACTGTGTGTTTTTAACACCCCTAAAAGCTAGTCTAACTTGTAAAATTCAGGCACAGTGTTGAAAAAAAAAAAAATTGTATCCTGCATATAGTAGTGTCTGCTCTCCATTTCAGATTGGGCCCTTAAGCTAGCCATACACACACAGATCTAATGCAGTATATCTAATAGATTTCTCCATCCATGCTAAACATTATGGATGGAGGAATCTCCCTTGTTGAACAGTGACTGCACCAGACTGGATGCAATCACTGATTGGCCGACAATTTTCTACTTGGATTTTCCAGTTGAAGTCAAGCCAGTTGGTGCTGACAGGGCCACCCACAGCTCAAATTTTGGCCAGCTGAGAAAGAATTGGGCAAAATTCAAGTTGTGTATGACCAGCTTTGGCGTTTTCAGATAAGGATGTCCGAGTTTCCTGATCTGCATACGTACAGGGCAGGTATTCAGAAAGCACTGAATCCACACAGCAGCCAGGCATCAAGTATTTTCAGAATGAAGTTGGCAATGGCAGCCCCTTAGTTCCCTCATGACAGGTTTATTTTTGGTTTCACTTCCCATGTGCATGCCAATGATGCAGGCCTAGACATCTGCTCAGACTCCACAGTTATGTCCCATAACTCAATGAATGTGTCATTACTGGAGGTTCTCTCATTGGAGAGTGGGTTGAATAATTTTGGGCATAACTGTTGTTGAAGACACCATAATAGCATGTGTCTAGGTTTGGGGGCGTGCAGGATGGGATTCAAAACTTAACATGCAGTTGTCAGTCATGATAAACTTTCAAACGTAAAAGGCCTGCCTCATGTAAAAAAAAAAAAAAAAAATCCTGCCTTAGATTGAATGTCACACAATGGGGGCAATTTACTAAAACTGCAGCACATAGAATCTGGTGTGACTGTGCATAGTAACCAATCAGCTTCTAACAATTAAACTTTGACAATAAAACCTAGAAGCTGACTGGTTACTAGTCACACCATATTCTGTATGCTTCAGTTTTAGTAAATCTCCTCTTTTACAGCCAAAAAATAATTAATCACTCACATTTCTCTCCAATTTTGTTTTTCTTTAATACTTGACTGACTTCTCTGACTTCTCAGATAAGCTCCACCCAGTTGCCTGCACTTTGTTCAACAGAAGTGCTATCACTAGCTTAGGGGATGGTGGTTTGGCATGACCCAGACATTTATTTATTTCAGGTACTTATATAGCGCCGTCCATTTACGCAGCGCTTTACACACATATATATATATATATATATATATATATATATATATATATATATATTGTACATTCACATCAGTTCCTAACCCTCAAGGGGTGTACAATCTAAGGTCCCTAACTTACATCATACAAACACATACTAGGGCCAATTTAGACAGGAGCCAATTAACCTACCAGCATGTCTTTGGAGTGTGGGAGGAAACCGGAGTACCCAGAGGAAACCCACACAGGCACAGGGAGAACATGCAAACTCCAGGCAGGTGGTGCCGTGGCTGGGATTCAAACGGACGACCCTAGTACTGCCAGGCGGAATTGCTAACCATTTAGCCACTGTGCTGCCCTAGACATCAAGCCCCTATTTGTAAAACTAAATCAGAGAACACAGGGAGACTTCTAGTTTATAAAGTAATAACAGCCACTTCATGGCATCTGCTCTCATACTGTAGTTTTATTTTTAAATCTTTAAAATGCCTGCCCAGAGGGTGCCTGTCTTTATGCAGGCCATAGACGGTTCCTTTATCGGCCGATTTTTCATCCGAAAAACGAAACATCGGTTGTTCTGTTGCCACCAATGATTGCGAAAATTGGCCGTTTTTCACAAATTTTCCAGCATGAGCGATAAAAGAAATGAGGAGGAACCGCGAAAATTGCCCCACTAATGCCTCGTACACAATATAAGAAAATCATACGAAAATTTTCCTACGAGGACCGATCGTCCGAATCGGATCGTCAGTACACAGCTTTCGAGAGCCGATCACGACAATTCGTACGACAATATCGGAAGGGACAAGCGCAAAAATTTTTCTCATACGACACCAGATCGCACGATTTTCATTTAATCAGTACAGAAGTCATCTGAAAATACAATACAAATACAATGCAATACATGACATCAGTTTTGAATTTCTTTCTTTCATAGGAGAATTTTCGTATCTTTAGTAACCTTTTCCCTTTCGATGTGAGACTAGCAGGCGAAAAAAAAACGGCCGATCGTTCGTCTGATATTCTCATCATGTGTACGGGGCATTACAGTGTGAAAATCGGCCGATTATTCTTTCGGACGAAAATCGGCCGATAAACGAACCGTCTACGGCCTGCATTAGAGTAAAACGTTTGGCATTGCCAATGAGTTAGCTTAAAGTGTATTCAAACCCGAACAATGAACTTCTTTTATTTGCTCCCCTTTGGTCTATCAAAGCTGAACTCCAGCCTTAACTAGAGTCTTGTACAGTTGTTTCAATCATGCAGGCTTAGCATTACATGTGGACATTATCTAGGGCACAGTTGTCCAACTGGCGGCCCTCCAGCTGTTGCCAAACTACAAGTCCCATGAGGCATTGCAAGAATGACAGTTACAGGCATGACTCCCAGAGCTAGAGGCATGATGGAAGTTGTAGTTTTGCAACAGCTGGAGTGCCACCAGTTTGACACCCCTGATCTAGGGCAGTCTACAGTTGCAAGAAAAAGTATGTGAACCCCTTGGGATTACGTGGAGTTTTGCATGAATTGGGCATAAAATGTGCTCTGAACGTCATCTAAGTCATAACAATAGAAGAACACAGTCTGCTGAACATAATACTACACAAACATTAGATGTTTCCATGGTTTAATTGCACATAACATGTAAACATTCACAGTGCAGGGAGGAAAAAGTATGTGAACCTTTGGACTTAATAACTGGTTGACCCTCCTTTGGCAGCAATAACCTCAACCAAACGTTTCCTGTAGTTGCAGATCAGACCTGCACAACAATCTGGAGTCATTTTGGACCACTCCTCTTCACAAAACTGTTTCAGTGTAGCAATATTCTTGGGATGTCTGGTGTGAATCGCTCTCTTAAGGTCATGCCACAGCATTTCAATCGGGTTGAGGCCAGGACTCTGACTGGGCCACTCCAGAAGGCGTATTCTGTGCTGTTGCAGCCATTGTTTTGTTGAATTACTTGTATGCTTTGGGTCATTGTCCTGTTGCATCACCCATCCTCTGCGGAGCTTCAGTTGGCGGACAGATGGTCGTACGTTTTCCTGCAAAATGTCTTGATAAACTCTGGAATTCATTTTCCCATCAATGACAACAATACGTCCAGGCCCTGAGGCAGCAAAGCAGCCCCAAACCATGATGCTCCCTCCGCCATGTTTACAGTGGGGATGAGGTTTTGATGTTGGTGTGCTGTGCCTTTTTTTCTCCACACATAGTGTTGCATGTTCTTCCCAAACAACTCAATCTTGGTTTCATCTGTCCACAGTATATTCTGCCAGTAGTGCTGTGGAACATCCAGGTGCTCTTTTGCAAACTTCAAACGTGCTGCAATATTCTTTTTGGACAGCAATGACTTCCTCCGTGGTGTCCTCCCATGTACTCCATTCTTGTTTAATGTTTTCCTTATTGTAGATGTGTCAACAAAAAATGTTAGCATGTGCCAGAGATTTCTGTAGGTCTTTAGCTGACACTCTGGGATTCTTCTTTACCTCATGCAGCATTCTGCGCTGTGCTCTTGCAGTCATTTTTACAGGACGACCATGCCTAGGGAGAGTAGCAACAGTGCTAAACTTTCTCCATTGGTAGACAGTCTGTCTTACCGTGGACACATGAACATCAAGGCTTTTGGAGATACTTTTGTAACTCTTTCCAGCTTCATGCAAGTCAACAATTCTTGATCGTAGGTCTTCTGAGAGCTCTTTTCTGCGAGGCATGGTTTACTTCAGACAGTGCTTCTTGAAACCAGTAAACCCAAAACAGGTGTGTGTTTTTTTTAAGGGCAGGACAGCTGTCAGCAACACATCCAATATCATCACACTGATTGGAGTCAAGGTTGGCTCACTCCTGGCTCCAATTAGCTCTGGGAGAAGTCATTAAGCTAGGGTCCCACATACTTTTTCCTCCCTGCACTGTGAATATTTACATGGTATGTGCAATTAAACCATGGCAACGTCTAATGTTTGTGTAGTATTATGTTCAGCAGACTGTGTTCTTCCATTGTTGTGAGTTAGAGGACATTCAGAGCACATTTTATGCCCAATTCATGCAAAACTCTATGTAATCCCAAGGGGTTCACATACTTTTTCTTGCAACTGTACATGGAAATACAGTGAGCCTAGAAAAGCTCAATCGTCAAGACTTGACTTCCACTTATCAAAGCATTTTGATATTTGCATAACTCCTCCCAAGATCCACGGCTGAGGGCTCTTGAGAGTTGTATTGAGATAGGATGCTGTAATGTTTCAGGAAACTATGTGCAACCTCTCCAACCAGCCTTAATCTGCACTGCATAGAGAAGCACAGAGCCCTAGTGATAACAGCACTTGGTTGAAAATAAGGTAAGTAAATTGCAAGTTTTGTTTTGTTTTTTAAATCGTTAGCATGTTGATGAAAGAGGGAGGAAGGAAACACAAAAAAAGCAAAAAAAATTTCAGTTTTAAATATACAATTGAAAGTAATTTGTTATATCTGTTTGATAAAATCGACCGATAAACAAACCGTCTATGGCTTGCATAAGTGTTGTCACTCTTGCATAGAAAATGTGTTCCTGGCAGGATAGCTAGGTTAAGGGAGAAAAGCTTGAAAAAGAAAACGAAGACTACATTTACATGGGAGTTTGTGTGTAGGTACATTGTGGTGTTTGTGGGTGGATAAATGTCACCTCTGAAAGCAGCAACAGTCTCTGCAATCGCACATACAAACTTGCCAGTTACCTGCAGCCAGAACGCAAAAATGCTGCCTCTGGACGCACACTGGCTGCTTCCGAGGTCAGTATGTATTTGCATGTAAACTGCTGCTGACACCTGCAGCTGTTCCCACACAGTGTGTGCAAACAGTACAAGAATCTACTGAATCTACAGCTGCACATGAACTCTGGTGTGAATGTTGCCTAACCCTAGGTTCACACCTATACAGGTTGCTATTGCGCCGTTTCTGAATTGCGTTTTTGCACTTGCTGGGGTTTTTTTTTTTCCATTTGTTTTTATTTTTTCTTGTTGCTAGGCAGATTTAAAATGCAAAAAGCAGCAAAAACGCAATACATGCTTTTCTGAATCGCTGCCATTGAAGTCTTTAGAACCAAAAAAGCAACTTTTTGCGTTCAAAAAAGTCCCTGACCCTTTCCAAAAACGCACCGGGTGAACATATCCCATAGGAAATCATGTTAAATGGACTGTACTACGTTTCTGCAAAATGCAAAACGCTGCAGAAAACACTTAGGTGTGAACCTAGAGTAACGCAGCCACCACATCTATACTGCAACACAGTATTTTTTTTATTGTTCTTGAGTTTAGATACCATTTAAAGCACACCTGAATGTAAGAGCTATAACTAGTAACATATTTAAAAACTGACCTAGAACAGGCATACAGTCAGGAAAGTCTAAAAACTGATATCCTGTATATTTATTCTAACTTAGTGCCTCTCTGGGCTGTAAAGAATAAAATAACCCCAGAGCCTGTACCTTTAAAGACAAATCAGCAATAGCAGCTTTAATACAGAAGTATGGCCAAAGCTCATTTGGTCATACTGCTCGTATTGATCACAGGAGTGCACTTATATCTGCATTTCTGTGACCCAGATTCAGCTGACAGCAGGCTAAAGTCTGCTATCAGCTGACATCACAGATATGGTCCAGGCTTTGCAGGGAACCCCACAATAATGTTGGGTTCTGTCTAGAAGCCCGACCAGCAGCTGTTTCAGCCTCTCAGCGTGCCACTGAGAGCCTGAGCAAGCCGCTTCTGCCCCCTCCTCAGTGAGTGCTGAAGGAGGCAGAGCAGAGAGCAGTGACTGACAGTCACAACTCCGTGCTCAGAGTGGACCCTAGAACTGAACAATCAGCTGTCTTTGATTGCTCAGTTCTCAGTGTAGAGGGGACAGCTTCAGCTCAGATCCATGCTGCAGCCATTTGGCGAGTATGAATGTTTGTTTTGTTTTTCTTTAAACCTACACTTCTCTTTTAACATTTATACTCTCACAGGTTCCCTTTATAAGCCCAACTTTGCTTTTCTGGCAAAAGGACATTGTTAGGCAAGAGAAAAAAAAGTGAATAGCTCAGTTGTATTTATCATCTGAAATTGTTCCCCAATGTGAATTATTCAAACTTTCTTTGTTACACTGGAAACAGTAGATGCATAAAATGATGCCATAAGTAAACAATTAACATGTCACTGCATGTGACTGATAATCTATGAGGCAGTATTAAATAACAGAACAACTATGGACTTCCATGTTTTCAACAACTTTTAAACTGATAAAAATATATAGTAGAATAAAGTAATTTGTTCTGTACGGCACCATACTCATTTGCTGCTACTTCCTTTTTTTTTTCCACGTCCTGCTTTTGTACTAGCCTTTTCATGCTCTTTTATAGCATTGTTTTCTATCTAATGAATGCACCTTACAAAGCAAACAAATATTCTGTAAATAGATGTAAGCACAGCAGGTACAGTATATACACATCAAAACTGCAAACCTCACATGCCATTCCCTACATCCACAAAAGTCAAAACAAGTTGTCTATTTTAATGTGTATATGTACAGGACTTAATACATTCAATTTATTCTGTCACTGGTGTCCTGTTCTATGGTACTAAAATTGTTGGAAATATCATAGGTTTATTCTTGGAATATTCAGCTGCAGAGACTCCTGTGGTTTGTGCTTAAGTAAATTGCTATTTCTTTTCAACACCTCTATTATATTTCATTGGCTTCTCTCTAACCCTCATTAGTTTCTCTTGTGATTGCTTTACTTTCCTTTATCTGTTTTTATGTCCATTAAGGGATGACTGTACAAACAAAATAATATATCATTAGCAATAAAAACGTAATGAGTGCACTCTTATAAAAGCAGAAGCACGCTTTATCTTATGATAGCTTGTATGAAAACCTTTCTGAACTTACCTTTCTGTAGGTGGATGATGTCTGGAAAGTTAGACAGCAATCCTTGGTACAGAGACAGGGTATCAAGAAATCGAAACTGATCGTTCTTGGGCTGCTCAGCAAACATCTCCCCTACCTTTTCATAAGTTTGCCCTGTGTGAGCGATTGCACCAACGAGTGGTTCTGTACCATACGGCGGGTCTAGCTGGAAGGAATAACTAAGACCCTGAAGAGCATTTCCAAGTTTCTGAAACTCCTTACGAAAGCCACCCATGTGTTTGCGTGCCAGTTCAGACACCACACTGGTTAGCTGCATAACACTCTCATCCATCTTTTTTGAGAAGGCTTTGAAGGCATCCACACGCTCCTCCACATCCTGCAGGTCCTGGTGTTCAGTAGGTATCTGCAGAGTCAGCAGGAAACTGGCACCCACCATCTCGTCTTTCTCTGCCCGTCGTTTGCCCGCTTTCCATTGCTTCTCATCTTGACAGGTTAAGAAGTGCTGAAAACCATCATACTGAGAAAGAACGGGGTGACTGGTCATGTGATCCATCCAAAGGATCAGACGACGTTTGCGCTTTTGGATGAAGTCCTCTTCAAAGCGTCCTGTAGCTTGCTTTTCAGGCAAGTGTGGAAGGGAGATTACTGTAAATTTATGCAGAAGCCGGTTGTACAACCAGTCAAAATGCTTGTATCTTCGGTAAACTGGAGAGTTGGTGTGCCCTGGTGTAAGCCTAACAATAAAAAATAAATAAAAACAGAAGGTAAAGACAGGAGATAATCAAGAAATTACAAATTGTGAAAATCACTTTTAACAAAAAAAAAGTTAGAAACATGAGGCTGATAACAGTTGAGAATATTACTGTATGCCCTCATAAACTGAATCTCCCTGAAAGAGATTACTATAACCTCATGTATGCCATCACAAACTGTACATCTCTGAAAGAGGAGGAAAGAATGTGCTCCTGCACAGCTCATGAGGACATTCCCATTGGATTTGGGATACTTGGCATCTTGTGCAAAGGCTGAATGTTGTCACCCTTGCTTGGCGACACTGCTGCAACCTGGGGTGTAAAGTGTTAACCTTTTCTTTCAATGTTTTAATTTTTGCCTTTAACCTAGCATTTTTTTTAAACTAGGGGTGGGGTGGGGGATAGCTAATAGGTGGACCTACATTTTCATGCAAGGTCTGCTTTAATCAGCACTCAAATTGAAATAGACAAACAAAATGTGTTAAGATAGGACTGTCTTAAAAAGGGTCAGTCCACTTAAGGGCTCATGTACACTGCAGCTGATAAACTCAGGTTTACGAGCTGTTCAGAGTTTTTTTTCAGCAGCCCCTGAACTCACCCTAATGTTTTCCTATATGTCCATGTACACATCTTCGTTTACAGGCAGTTGAGTTTACAGTCATTTTTTTGAATGCAGAAAACTTACGTTCAGGAGTAGATTTTATCAGAGTTTCAAACACCAAACATTTGTAAATGTGGCTAACTGCTTTTATAAGCGTATGCGTTTGAAATTTTTTTTTAACTCTTCCATTTCCAGATGCTGTCCAGAGCCTTTTTTCACCATGAAAAATTAGTGCAAAGTGTTTTCCTGGTACTCAAATGGACCTGGTACACCATACTTTGAGGTTTTGCATGAAAGAAAATATGTTAGACACTGCTGCAATAATTTCTGCACAGAAATGAGCTGGAACACATCCAAACATCACAAAAAAACAAAAGAAAAAAAAGAAAAAGGCAGCTAATCTCAACACATACTGCTCTCTCTGCTTCTCCTCTCTCTTTTTCTCTCAAAATGTCTGAAATAGTTAATTTTTTACAGTTTTTTAGTGCATTCTGGGCATTTTGGAAGGTCTCCTGAGGTTATCTTTAAAAGACGCTTCTAAACGCAAACGCTCATAATCGCAGTATGTAAACGCAGCTATACAGATGTTTTTTAACCTACGTTTTCCAGCAGTCAGTTTCCATCGTTCAGAAGTGTCCCGTGTACGTGGGGCCTTAAACTGATATTTATAGGATACGTTCAGAGATACATAAAGTCCTCACTTACCTATTCCAATGGCTGTGGCAGGCTGTCTGCACCAACATCATATAGACTTGAAAGGAATGTACCCATACTCCAGAAACATTCAATTCTATGAAATGTTAGTGCACAGACACGGAGAGCTTGGTATTAATTTTAACAAAACTAATGAGAACAAGAAAACGCTGGGTGGAAAAGCAGATGCTTGTTGCCCCCAAGGATAAAAGAGTGGACTTGGCTGGGGGACCTCATATGTGGTGGTACAGCCTGATAGAGTCTTAAGGAGTAACTAACTTGGACTTTTGGAAATACTTGAATGAGCGAGTGGAACCTGTGAGGGGGGTCTTTATATACTGGGACAGAGTTGACAATTCCTTCTTGCTTTATTTTTGATGCTTTGTGGAGCTTCCCGGGAAGTCATGCTGGCTCTTGTGGTATACCATCATTGGGATATTCCTTTCTGATGACGCTATTTGTAGCAGTCCAATTTGTGCACCTTCTGCTCCCAAAGAAGCGTAACGACGCAAAACATGTTGAGCTTTATGTGAATGGATGGTGGCTTCCCTGTTATCGCTCAATTATAGTATGATCATTGTGTATCATTAATTGTGATATTGTGAACTCTTTTTATAGTGTAGGGCCACCACCCTATTTGACATTAGGGTGCAGGATGCAACTATGCTGTATTCTAATTGAGTTTTGATCAGTTTATTGTACATGAATAAAGACTGTATACTTCTTTTTTTTTTTTTTTTAATTTGTGTGATACCCACAAAGTTCATGGATTGCAGTTTAATGTCTTTTTTGTCTGTATCTATTGAGTATGGTTCTAAATTTTTAGCGACTGGACTGCAGACAATGTGAAAAGGCCACAGCCATTGGAGGAGGTAAGTAAGGATATGCAAAGGTGGGGGTGGATTGCAGAGCGGAGTATACTGAGAGAGCTAAGGAGGGAGCAAGGTGTATTTTTTATGTTACTATACTTGTCCTTTAAAGCTCAGAACCAGGAAACCTAAAAATTCTTGCTTGCAGAGGGGATGCACTTTTACTTGTGGGACAATCCGCTCTCCCGGCAGGGAACGCTCCCCCATGCTCTAGTGGTGGACTGTCCCTCAATCTTTTGACATCAGAGGACCTTAGGCCATTGGAACAAGGGTGAGAAAAGGCTGTGGTTACTGGTCTAGCAGCACAGGGGAGCCTGGAGTTCAGCTTTAAGTTTCTAGTAGCTGCTGAAATTTGGAGTAGTAGTAGCTGCTGAAATTTTCAACCACCTGACAGCCTTTGTATCTCTTGGAGACTGTCCGAGATCTCAGAGATGTCTGTCTTTTTTCATTTATATTACACAGAACACAACAGCAGATGGTCAACTATGGCCAGTATCTTTACTGAAGTATCGATCAAATACAAAAAGCAAGGAGCTGACAAAGCCCACCAGGCTCCATCTACAACCAAAATATTAATTTTGGGTGGACTTATCCTTTAAAATATTCTAGTAATGCTGCTCAATTGACCAAATAAACAAAAACAGATGGAGCTTGTTACAGAGTCTGCAGGGTAACAGAGAACCTATTCTGCTGTTTTTCTTGGAATCACACCCTCCCACACCCTTTGTTAACTCTCCTGAATGACAGAGTGACCTGATGGCATAAATAACACACAAGCAAATTGCAGTTCATTGTTTACCGTACATACTAGTATACATTACACTAGTGTACACAGACACATCCTGACCCCTTTTACTGAAAACGAATAACACGCTTTTTCCTTAGTTACGCGACAAAACACAGAGTATGTAATTTTTCCAAATTCCAGACATTGTTCAGTAAAAGCATGAATATAAATAGTTGATTCTGACTTAACACTGGTTTGAGCACTTTCCTTAAGTACACACAGATCTTTACCAACACTACAAAGACTTCACTGTCTGTATTTTTAAAGAATGTTATACCTCTGTATAGAAACACAGTTTCTTACCTGTAGGAAATGTAACTCTTGATTCCTTTGAACTTTGTCTGTTTGGTGGGTTCCTCCACAGAGCAATTGAATGGATTACGATCCAGCTGCCACTGTGGACCCATGGGTCCCATTTGAATACCATGAGTTTCGGGCACTCTGCCCAGCTGTGGAACATCCCCAAGTATAAAGGCTTCAACGCCTGACCTTACAAAGCTAGAAAATCTGTTTAAGTTCCTCCCTACAACACTTCCCCTCTTCGAACTTGCCACACTATCTTGCCGATCTAGTTGTGGCCGTGGTCGGTGGGCATATTCAGCTCTTGGGTAATGGTGGCGTGGGGGCTGATTGTATGGAACACCATTTGGACCACTAGGTTCTTCTGCAACAGACTGTCCATCATCCCATTCATCCCAGTCATCATCATCTTCCTCGTCATCATCATAGCTCCCATGATGTGTAGTATCTGGATAGTTTTGATGGTGTGTTTGGGTAGTCTACTTGTACAGATCCAGAACGGGGCGTATTAATTATTTCAACATATGATGCTGGAAACAGTCCAGTCTGACCGCGGCTATTTGTACCCTGAAGCCACCCATCTAGCGAAACATCACTGAACAGGCGTAGCTCTTCATTCTCCAGGATGTCTATTTCCTCTTTGTTCTCGCTCTGGAAGCTGTACAGAGCTCGAGCTTTCAGGGCCATGATGAAAAAGACAGGAGCAAAAAGCTGCAACGGTAATAAGCAATATAATTGAGTGATCCATTAACATTTACATCACATGATATATACATTAACTGAAGATCAATTTCCTTCTTTTTAGTGATCTTGAAAGCATCATGTCTCTTAAAGTGCAGCTAAATGCATTTTTAAAAAATTTTGGATAGAATAAAAGGAGGGTTATAACCCGTCAGATTTTTTTTTTTGCCGTCTGTGTCCCATGAGTTTTTTCATTGGAAGAATTCCTCTCTAATACTTTTCTAGGGACAACTCAAAATATGGGGATTTTTTTTACTTTCACTTTCATTAATAATGGTAAACAGAACAAATACAGAGGGAGAATCTCCCTAAGGAGAGCACAGACAGTAATAAAAACTGACAGGTGTTCTAATCCATCAGTCCAAGTGTTCAATCTAATCCATCCACCCCCCCCCCAAAAAAATTGACCTTTAGTTTTACTTTAAGTTGGGGTCTACATGGAGCACAGTATGAAAATGCACAATATGGCACCCGACAACCCTATATCCATTATCTTTTAAAAACAGAATGCTCCACAGTGCAGTGAAGTGAACAGGATCCACAGCAATCAATGTTATTTGTGCATAGCATCCACTGTTCTATAGAAAAAACACACAATAACTGGCCTAAAACAGGGGTCTCCAAACTTTCTAAGCAAAGGGCCAGTTTACTTTCCTTCAGATTTTAGGGGGGCCGGACTGTGGCCAGCGGGAATAGAATTGCTTTCTTGCATCAGCAGAAGTAAACAGTGTCCCATCTTTGGTACTGGGGAGGGGGGGGGGGATAGTGCCCCATTGTTGGTGTCAGTGGCAGGAATTATGCCCATTGATGGGTTTTAGTGGGGCAGAAATAGTGTCTCCTATCTGTGGGATGAATAGTGCTCCAAGAGCCGGATAAAGACAAGCAAAGGGCTGCATCTGGCTCCGGGACACAGTTTGGAGACCACTGGCCTAAGAGGACAGCACACAGACTGTTTTTTTGGATTCAGGTTTAGGTTGACAGTTGCTCTATTAAAGTTCACCACCAGTCACACAGCCAAATACACAGTTGAAATAAATGTACAGTGCATTCAGACCCCCTTCATTTATTCAATTTTGGTATGTTACAGCCTGATACTACAATTGTTTAAATCATTTTTTTTTCTCATTAATCTACACTCAGTATGCCAAAATGACAAAGTGAAAACAGAATTTTAGAAATGTCCATGAATTTGTTAAATATAAAAACTGAAATATCACATTGGCGTAAATATTTAGAGCCTTTGCAACAACACGTAGGGGTTGATTTACTAAAGGCAAATAGACTGTGCACTTTGCACAGTGCAGTTGCTCCACAGCTTAATAAATGAGTAGAAGTTCTGCTGACTTCCATCATCCAATCATGTGTAAGCAAGAATGCTTTTTTATTTTCCTTCCATGTGATTGGGTATTCTTTGCAAAGTGAAACTTTACCCCATTTACTAGGCTCTGGAGCAATTGCACTTGCAGAGTGCAATTGCACTTATTTATTTATTTTATTTCAGGTACTTCTATACACTTTGAAATGCGCACAGTTTATTTATCTTTAGTAAATCAACCGCTTGGAATTTAACCGAGGTGCCTTGTGATTTCTCTTGATCATTGCTGAGATGTTTCTACACCTTGACTGGCGTCCACCTGTGGTAAATTAAATAACTGGATATGATTTAGAAAGGCAGACACCTCTCTATAATAGGCCTCACAGCTGACAGAGATCTGGGGAAGGCTACACTAAAAAAAAAAAAAAATGTGTGTATGATATATACAGTGGCCTTCATAATTCTCAAATGGAAGAAGTTTGGCACAACCAGGACTCTTCCAAGAGCTGGTCGTCCTGCCAAACAGATCAATCGGGGGAGAAGGGAATTAGTAAGAGAAGTGACCAAGAACCTGATGATCACTCTGATTGAGCTCCAGAGATCCTAGGTGGAGATGGGACAAAGTTCCAGAAGGTCAACCATCACTGCAACCCTCCACCAACCTGGGCTTTATGGCAGAGTGGCTAGACAGAAGCCTCTCCTCAGTGCAAAAGACGTGAAAGCCTGCTTGGAGTTTGCAAAAGTTTTTTTTTTGTAAAAAACAAAAAAACATACAGTACATTTCTGCAATACATACACATTTCCTCTTGTATCCATTTAAAGATTCTGCAAGTACAGAAAAATGCCTTTTGATCTACCACAAATGCACTCAGCTTAGAATTCCTGTTGTCGACTGAAACCACACATCACTTTTCTTGATGTCAGCCCTGATCATGTTGTTTGCTGAACTACTGAATCCCTCCCGCTCCTCCTGTCCACACATATTTAATGGTTAGTTCCTTTTTTTAAAAAAAAAAGTATTTTATATAGAACTGGAATTTTTATATAGAACTGGAAAGTACTTGAGTGTTATCCTTGGCACATCTCAAGCTGAGAGAGGAACATGCAATACTTGTACTAGAATCTAACTAGGAGCTAGTTAGATTGTCCTACATGCACCTGTGCTGACAGGAGGAGAGAGCAGAGTGAGCAGAGTTGGGGATTTATGGATGCGTTGCTTCTCCTTCAATGTCCAATCAATCAGCAAGCTGCAGGAGGGGAGGTGACAAGTTGGGTCACTAGGTAGCACTGTCGGGCAGAGGTGTATATATATTATAAAAAAAAAAAAAGTGGCTGACAGATCTTTTGGCAGATAATACAGTTCATATGTGCACTTCATATGTGTAAGGCCCCATGTACAACGGGCATTTGTCAGGTTCTCCTAAATGCCTTTCCCTCTGGGTAGCAACGTTTCGGAAGAAAAACCACTTGATGTGTGTAAACGCATCTAGGTGCATAAAGTGCTTGTGCGTTATTTCATTTCAACGGCCAGAATAAATTATTATTCTGGCCAATGAAATGAATTTGTGTTTAAGTGCTTGATGATTCTAGTGTTAACGTGAGTTTAGACGTGTTTGCATGCATCTAGTGTTTTTTTCTGACAAAACGCTGCTGCTCCTGGATGCACTGGCAGTGGGGGGGGGGGGGGTTTTCTGCCCCTAAATGTCTATTTGTGCATGGAAACATAGGCTAACATGGGTGGTATTTGGAAGCAGGAGAAAAAAAAAAAAAAGAGATGCCAGATGCACCTAAAAGCAGCGTTTTTGACGTTCAGTGTACATGAGACTTACAGTAAATATCTCTGTGGAGCTCAGCATAATGCCGGTTTCCTGCAATTACTATATGTTATTGGGTTTTTTTTTTTAACCAAGCAGGCATGGAGGATGCTACCTATCTGTATTACAGTTGTGCATCATGTGTGATTACTGTTCCAGTATTTCACGTAACAGGCCATCTGTGCGAGTCAGCACTTTTCCAGGAAAATCACTATTTCTTCATCAAACTTAAAATGATCATGTTCCTAAAACTGCAAAAGGGAAAATTTATTAGGAAAATTTACAGGAATTTCCAAACTTGCCATCTAAAAAGGCCCATGAGCACTAATACTATAATCTATGGTACAGATTACTCTGTAGCATTACTGTACTAAGTAAATGGTTCATACTGGATCTTTGGTGCTTTTCCCTCTATGAGCAGCAAACTGCCATCAAAAGGATGCCTTTCAGAACATTGGGGACACGCTAAAAAAAAAAAAATCACAGGCCATATGTGGATTTATACTTTTCAACACATTCATATTCCAAAGCTTTCTTACAGTACAATGCTTTTTCAGTGGTTATGACAAACACTTTTAAATATAGTGTAATTGGAATACACAAGCTCGTGATTAGCAACAAGGCGGAGGTAATTTAATATGATCTGCCAGCTTCTGCATAGGTAACAGGTGCCGCACCTGCTCAAGGCAACAAGGGTTCTAGTGAGTAACTTATTTAAAAGTATAATAAACACTATAAAAAGAAAATCATAGGCATGAACTAATGTATATCTACAGGGACTTGTGGGAATTCAAATATTAGGAGTGCCCATTGCTTATAAGTTATTAAAGATGCAGGATCCAGGGCTGAGTTTTAGCTGACTGAACTCCCATTTGATGCTGCATGATACCAATGACCCTTTTAGCTGTGTGTATGGCCTTGTTCACACTGCCAGCAAAGAGGCAGTAAAAACAGATGGTTGATCTGCATTTTACTGCCCTCAAAGCACCTACCTATAACCTTACATTGTGGCCTCTCATGTATGTCCACATTGTCTCTGCATGTTGCCTTTGGCAGGGCTCCTATTGAAGTCAGTGGGACCTTGCTGTAACCACGTGTCAACTCTTGGGCACATGATTGCGATGCTGTATTGCAGTGTAAAATCCCTTTTGGGAACAAAAAAAAAAAAAGAAACAAGCATTTTGGAGGTGGCCTCTTTAACCACTTGCCCTTCAGAAGATTTACCCCCCTTCCTGACCAGGCCATTTTTTTGTGATACGGCGCTGCATTATTTTAACTGACAATTTGCGCGGTCATGCAGCACTGTACATAAATGAAATTTAAGTCATTTTTTCCCCCGCAAATAGAGCTTTCTTAAGTGGTATTTGATCAACTCTGAGTTTTTTCTTTTTTGCGCTATAAACAAAAAAAATCTGACAATTTTGAAAAAAAAAAACCAAAAAACTATATTTTGACTTTTTGCTATAAAAAGTATCCAATAACAAAATTAAAAAAAATAAAAATTTTGGCATAAATTTAGGCCAAAATGTATTCTGCTACATGTCTTTGCTAAAAAAAAAAAAAAGTGTACATTAATTGGTTTACGTGAAAGTTATAGAGTCTACAAATGGCGGTACATATACTGGTATTTTTTTTTTTTATACTAGTAAAGGCGGCGATCAGCGACTTATAGCGGAACTGCAGTGGGCATTCTGACACTGGGTGGGAACTGATTGCCACTGACATCTCCAGTGACACTAATACAGTGATCAGTGCTAATAAAAAGCACTGACACTGTACTAATCACACTGGGCAGGAAGAAGTTAACATCTGGGGCG